TGATAGAATTCCTGAATTAATTTATAATCGATGAACTTGAAATTTTCACTTGAAATCATAAGGAATTCTACAAAACAAAGTCTATTTGGACATATTTGTTTGCAATTTGTTTGATTTGTTAAATATTAAATGGGACAGAGGGGGAAACAAATGTGTTTGAGTGAGAAACACACCAAAGGCATAGTTCCTAACCTTCCGGCCTCCTCCCTCAGTCAAAAGAAAAAGTTTCCTTAGAAAATCGGATTAAGACAGAGGAGCTTAATATGCAGGTAATTTGAGTACCTTGACCACAAAATGAGTACAAGTGAAAATTCCTAGAGTCAATCAGTTCTCTATTTTACACTTCCCTTCTGATATTTGTCAGGACACATTACCACAAGATCAAAGGCTTTGTTTACTGAGCAGGCAAATGCTCACTGTCCTACTTTCCAGCTCCTACACCTCCGCTCCACGTACAGTCAAAAAGCAAGAGGGAGAGAAAAAAAGATAATTTACTTCATTCAGTACCCAAGTAGTTATTAACCCCACACATCACTGATAGTCAAGGGTTATTTCACAAATAAATAGTTATTTGACAAATGTATCTCTTAGTTGAATCCAACACTCACTGAATTGATTGAATCCTCCATCACCTGTATAAAACAATTGCAACTGCAATATATTACAAATAGACAATACATTTCTCTGCTCAGCCTCTTACCAAGAATGTACAGCAACCACCTGAAACACGACCAGAGTTGGAATAATAATAATAATAATAATCCTTGCATTTGATATAGCGCTTTTCACGTCGGGAGGATGTCCCAAAGCGCTTCACAGAACACACTGTAAAGTGAATTGACTGTATATTTGTGGGCGAACGCGGCAGCCAATTGCGCATAGCAATGTCCCACAAACAGTCGTAGATTGAAAATGACCAATTTATTATTGTTTTTGGAGGGATTATTATTAGGCGTGTGGAGTAAGGAAACTTGCCCAAGGTTTCTCCCTGCCTGGAATTGAACTCAGGTCTCTCACTTGCAAAGCGAGTGCTCTAACCACTGAGCTACAGGACTCCACGTGTAATAGTGTAAAGTTAAATTTGTTGCTAAACAAGCAGGAATTTCATTTTATGAAGAGTGGAATTGTCAATTATTCTTGGACTCTGAGCATTTAATCTTAAAAGATTAAAGCTATATATAGTTTATAAAAAGAGTGGGTAGATCAGTGGGGTGGACAAGAGCAAGAGGTCAATGTCTCAACATGGAGGGACTCGTGCATAGAAGCATTGGCAGTGAAAGGACATGTTACTTACAAACCAGAGAGTTGCTTCATGGTTCGACTCATTGTAGTTGGAGATGATTTTGTAAAGATAATGGTGATCTGGGGAAAATCTATAAGGGAGTTTATTTCTAAGAACCCAACTTGCATCAATTGCTTCAAGTTAGTCACTGGCTACGAGTTTGCTGGCCCCCAACTATGTCTGAAGTACAATACATGGAACTTGAGTTGCATTACCTTCCCAAATTAGCTAGCGATTAGACAAACAAAAGATTTAATGCTCAATACATTACTTTAGTAAAACTGTCTTCAAAAATCGTCAATGAGCTTTATTTCATATCCTGAGAGCCTAAAATGATTGAATTGGAATTGAATCTCTGCCCTTTCAAAAGTCATTAAATCCAATGAATGTCCAGGACCCTATGTTATGGTTAGGCATTTTCTTCAAACCAGTGGCTCCTCTGACTAAATATCCAAAACAAAGGCAATTCCTTCCTCAGCACCAATTTAATCTCCAAGGTGAACTACGAAAGACGAAATCCAAAGAGTGTTCTACTTGTCTATTTTCAATTAGTGTCCAGAAAGTCACAACACCCTCATGGTTTAATATATTACTCTAATACAAACCTTGATCTTGGCCTCAAACACAATTTTTCTTTTTACTTCAATAAATCTGAGACCATCAATCTCACTCACCTAGAATGGCAGTGTCTAAACAATCTCTCAACTGAGTACATGAAAGTAGGTTTCTCAGACTTCAGACTAGCAAATCAAAGACTAATCACAAAGCAAACAACAGAGTTAAGGCATAGATCCTCTCTTCCCTGCAGTGCAAATCTCACCTAATGCATTATCAGAATAGGAAGCACACAACCAATATTACTGGACTTGTAAAGCCACCAAATGGGAGTTGCACAGCATTCAGTACAATAATCTCCTATAATATTCCATGATGCACAAATCAGGTTGAGTACGATTTGGAGCTTTAAAAAGGGATCTTTGCAAATGCATGATTTTTGTGTGAGCAAGGATGAGATGGTGGAGTTTACAACTGCGCCATGAAAGGTCTGGTAACTGGTGTGTGTGTGTGTGTGTGTTTTTTTACACACACTTGATGCTCTGAGATAACCTACAGTCTTTGAATACCTGTTTAAAAGCATCAGATCTATCTTTAGTGCTTGGATCCTATGCATACATTATACACCTCAAATTATGTAAGGGATTTTCTTTCTAATAAGGCCTGGTCACATGTTAAGATGAAGCACTGAGTAGCCATTGGGAAAATATGCATAAAGCATTATTTATAAGCTGGGAGGGGAATAGGGAAACATTTTCACCAATCCATTGGTTGCAAATCAAAATCCATGAAATGTAAAACCCATCAATATTTCTTCTTCTGCCTTACTGTCACACTAAAGTAAAAGCAGTGGCTAATTTCTGAAGCATTGTGATACAGGTCTTGTGAGACTGTCACATTAGCTTATTTTAGCTGCACAAGACTGGGCAGTGAAATAACTGTGATAGCAATTAAGAATCTGTGTGCAGGGAGGGGTGGGGTAGGTCAGCAATGAAAGTTGCTCAGACCCTTCATGTTATAAATTGTGTGTCAGCGATTTTATTACAGTTCAGCTCCCTTCATTTCTATTCATCTCCCCACATTCCACAAAGAACACATTTCTAAACAATCACTACATACAAATATCTTTGCTGAAATGGGCCAAGGCTAACCTTGTCCACTCTCCTTTCAACCTAGGTTTCTCAAAGTGACGGAAAACCCACTCAACTTAAAAGTCTGCAGTCTCAGAGAAGTGATGTGTGGAGTAAATTTGATAGGGCAATTGTCAAGGTTAGGCTGCTGGTTAAAATGTGCAACTTAAAGAAATTAATAAGTTTAACCTTTAATAATAATAATAATAATAATCCTTGCATTTGATATAGCGCTTTTCACGTCGGGAGGACGTCCCAAAGCGCTTCACAGAATAGACTGTAAAGTGAATTGACTGTATATTTGTGGGCGAACGCGGCAGCCAATTGCGCACAGCAATGTCCCACAAACAGTCGTAGATTGAAAATGACCAATTTATTATTGTTTTTNGTTTTGGAGGGATTATTATTAGGCGTGTGGAGTAAGGAAACTTGCCCAAGGTTTCGCTCTGCCTGGAATTGAACTCAGATCTCTCGCTTGCAAAGCGAGAGCTCTAACCACTGAGCTACAGGACTCCACAGGACTTTCTGAATTTCTTTTGAATTTTTATATAGAGACAGTAAGTGCTAACAAAGTCAGTGGTCCATTTGCTGTACCTTCCCAGCCAGTTTACCTGCTATTATTATTAATAAACAACCAATGACTAAACCTTTCTTTTTGCAAACTAGAGAGAAATATACAAGAAGAACATGAAAGCGAATGTATCTCTAGGGTCCCTTAAAAAGGGTCCCGATGGAGCAGCTCTTTCTTTAGTATGGAAAATCAGATCTTTTTATTTTAACAGTAAATTTGAAGTAGAGATGCAATCGGCTGCTACCACACTCACATTACAGCTAGTGTGAACTTTACCATTTCAAACATCCAACCACAAATAATTAAATATATTCTATGGATTTTAAATATTTACACTCTCTTGCTTGCGATTTTCTTCCCGTGCTCACGTTAGCATTTCACATCCATGGTGGAGTTGGGGGTGAGCACAGCAATTGTGTCTCTCATAACCCCACACACATGCTCACAAAACGTGAGAGAACCCGCTCACCACACACACTAGGAGATATTGTGGAGAAGATGCTTAAAAAAAAANCCCTCATGTTATTACTGCAAAAAGACTTTACTTTACAAAGTATATATGATGCCTCCCTGGTAATGATGCATTACTCGGTTTGTTTCAAGAGGGACAGCTCAGAGTTCAGTAATTGAAGCTGCATTTGTGAAATAAACCTAGCAACACACTGTTCAAAGGACGGTAACTTTACAACTGACACATGCACGATATCAAAAGTACCATTATTCTCTCACTCTCTCTCTCCCTCCGACCCCCCCACCTCACACGTTTTACATGCCTCAAATATTCATGTTTCTTAAATTACTGTGAACAAATAATGGGAATAAAATAATTTACAAGGGCATGGAGGTGCCTTTTGAGCATAGGAGAGTTCAGCTCAGCAGCACTGCCACCGGGAATCTGGTGGTACTGCAGAAATCCGCAAATCGATTTTCAGACAGGTTAATCATTTTTGTATATCTGTTATATATACACATAAAATATATATTTTTTGCATATATACGTGTGTGCTTGAGCAATTTAAAATGTTAAAACTTGGTAACCTCATCGAAGCACATCATTTAAAAACATTTATAGGAGGCACAAGAGTACAGCCCATTCAATATACTTTTATACATATTCAGACCAGGTGTGTTATAAATAAGGAGGTTTTTCTTTCTGTGTGTTTTTTATTTTAAAAACATATTTGGCATTATAAGACACTGGATGCATCACAGTGGATGCAGTGGTGGTAAACAATTTGTGATAAAAGCAGGGATTCAATAGTCCTGGTACGGACAGATAATAGTTGGGTTAGAAGCTTTGGGTGTGAAAAGTGCAATAGAACGTGAGCGACTCAGAATCCCACCTGCTCAGCACATGGTAAGTAGCCTCAAAACCAAGGGACGATATTCACCTCCTCTTTCCCCCCCACCCACCCCACACACGCACACAAATTAAATAGAAAAACCTTAATGATCTGCAGCTGAACTATAATGCTTAAGAGATTTTACATCTTTACCTATTTTGCTGAATGGCAAACAGAGGACTAAAAGTAGGATGATGAATGCAAATAGAACTGGGAGCTCAGGACCACAGGGCAAACGTGTTTCTCCACTTACTGCTTCTGCTGCCCTTCCTGATGGGTGTGGAGTGGCTGGAGACCAAAGGGGGATGGGTTGGTTGTGGGTGGGGGGGCTGGCAAAAAGAAACAAGGAGTTTGGGCAAGACGACTTATAGTCATGGCTTTGAACCTAACAATTTGAACCCACGTGAATATTACATTTTTTTTAAAAAGTGCTCTGAAGTGTCCTTACAGCCTGAAAATGGTTTGCTTGTAGTAGTTCATGCACAGAAGACTTCACCAGGTTTTAGGATTGTACTTTTAAAAACTTAAACAGTAGTTCTGCCATCTTGCTCGAGAAAGCAGTGGCAGCTAGCGACCTGCATGTGCACTGGCTGAATAGACTGTGAGCACCTGATCCACAGTCTATCATTCATTTGCAAAAGGTTCAGTGAGCTGAACACCTACTTACGAGAATGAAACCAAACAATATGCCACAAAAGATTTTACAAATAGATACGTAATGGCATCATAAAATGTACTAATGTATTTACATAAAAATATACTCAAAACTGAATGTATTACGCTCTTTAGCCCTGAATAGGAGGGGCAGATTGACCTCCGGAAGGTCATCTACCCTTTTGAAAGCTCGGTGGATCAAATCACCCTAATTCACAGTGGCTGCTTGGGCAAAATATCTAGCGATCAAAAGGTGTCCACTGTGGCCAAGGAAGTTGGACAGTTTGATTGATGGGAATTCAGGTCTAAACTGACATCTTGGCCATATGCAACTATTTAAAGGTGACTGGGTTGTTAACTCTTTTGTAATCTCAACAAGCAGTCAATGCGGACAACCTGATTCAAAGATGCCAACGCTGGGATACCAGGGAAGAGAGGGATGAGAACATTTAGATTCAAGAAATGCACCAAAACAGTCGACAAAATGACTTGGTGACGACATGTTAGTTTAAATAATGATAAGGGTTGTTGGTGGAAGAGGGGAGAAAGGAACTTAACGAGAAAATAGCAAATTTCACGTAGATGGAATGGGGAAATCATTGGCATTTCCGTTTGATCACTGGATATTTTCTCGTTAATGCTCTCAAAACTCCAAATCTTGTTCTCTGCCCTGGTGTAAGGAAGGCCTGGCAATGCCCGGCCCCGAAAACTAAGAACGACACCCTCAATCCCCAAACACCGTAAAAGACCAGCGGAACGTCAGACACTCTACTTTTGCTTGCAAACCAAGAAACGGGTGGCCAGTCACACGACAGATCTGCCCACTTTCACTTCTGAGTGCTGAAAGGAACTGCGACATTGTTCGTACTGGTGGCAGCAGCTGGAGCCGTCACGGCAAAGCCCGTGGGAGGCGCTATAGAACTGTGTGTGGGCTGGACATCCTTGGGAATGCCACTGTGTGAGGAGGCAAGCTGGGGGCCAAAAGCCGCGCTGAACTGGGGCAGCTGTTGTTTGGAAGGGTTGGAAATCAGCAGGTCAGGAGGCGAGGAAGGTCCCACTGTGGTGACATTGCTGAAACCAGCCTGGGTGAGCCCTGGAAAGAGGACAGTGCTGCTGGGCGTCGCCGTGGAGAAGGCCGTTTGTATGGACGCTGAGTGAGGGGTGGAGAGTGGGGTGGAGAGCGAGGTGGAGAGTAGATGTCCCTCTGCTCCGACTGAGATCAGGTTGCTGAATGTAGCTGGGTCGCTGAGGTTGATGGTGCTCCATTGTGGTCTGGGGTTAACTGCTCCACCCAGTGACACCTCCAGCTGAGCTGGCAAAATGTGGGGTGTTAGTAGAGTCACTTCAGCGGTGGGGAATGTGGTGGTCAGGGAGTCCCCAGAGTAGGGCGTCGTGTGGGGCAGGGGCGAAGTGATGTGGTCGCTATAGGGAGAGGGGACATGTTCGCTGCTGTAGTGGCTGCTGTGTGGGGAAGAGTGCGAGTGGTCGCTGCTGTATTGCTGGGGCGGCATCAAGTCCTCGCTTTTCCCCAGCATCGGGTTGCCCTGTGCCCGGGGAGAGGCGTGGTTGCTTTGAAAGTGAGACGAATAAGTCCGATCCCCGAGAGCGCTGTGGCCGCTCAGGGCTGACGAGGCGAGGCCCACGCTGGACGGGGCAGGATACTGAACGTGATTGGCCACTGAACTCTCTGGGTTCGACAGTGCGGCCGGGTGAAGGAGGTTCTCGTCCAGCTCTAGGTTGGTGAAGTTCTCGGGGGCCATGCGCCCGTTCAGGAGATCTCCCAGTTGGTTGTTCACAGCCCTGCTCAGGGCTGGCATTCCTGCTGCGGCAGCAGCGGCAGCAAACACCCCCATCCCCCTGCCCGTCAGCTCGGAGCCCGCCTCTCCCTCTGTGTGCGACAGATCACCGATCGAACTCAGCCGCTCCAGCGAGGCCGCATAGGATGTCACTGCCTCCAGCGCTCGCTCCAGCTCCTCCGCCTCCTCAGTCGTTGGCAACAGCTCACCGTTTTTACCTGGGGTATGGGGAATGGGAACAAATACAATTACCATAGGAGGGGGGTGGGGGAGGGGGGGTGATAAGTGGAGCTCCTTGGACTTGAGCTCTTAATCAGAATGATGGGCCCACCAAAACAAATGTTTTCATAGTATAACACCCAGCTGAAGAAACCTTTACATGCACTAAACAAGACTGCAAATAAGATCAACCTTTAGATGTCCTATACCTGGAACACCTTGCAATCATGAGATGAGTGGGAGATTATCCCTTTCCTGGAAAGCTACCATGATACTGTTTATCCAGTTGCACATTCACCTATCTGAGTGCATTGTGCTCTCAGATGGGTTTCATATTTTATTTTGGGTAAAGGAACTCAGCCGACGATAATTATCAAGCACCTTACAAAAGCAAGAACTGTCTAAGCGCTGTACTGAATGAGATTAATTAAAATTGAAGGAAATGTTAATGCAGACAAATGCTACAACGTGTCTGTGCCCAGCAACATTCTACAAAGAGATGAGTGGCCAATTGCCAAACATCTGGAACCGTTCAACAGGACTGCGATTCTTTAGGGATCAGGGAAGCACATTGAGATGTCCTCCCAACACGAAGGGCTATAATAAATACAAATTGTTGTTCTAAAATGCCAATCCAAAGGGGTGGGGTCAGTCCCAGAGAGGGGGGGGGGAATGGAATAAGGTGGAAGAGAGAGAGTGACAGAAACTACAGGGGTGGAGAGTCCTACTGAACAGATGCAGACATTTAGCTAATTGACCTATCCAATGGCCTAACTGTTCACTGCTTTTTAATCGCAGAGAAATATAATTTATAATAATACAATTTTAAAAGGAAAGTACGATTGCAGCAGAACATTTTTTCCTCCTTAGAAATTTTCCCTTAAATAATTTGGCAACTCAGAGCTTGAAGAGAATGAGGGCACCTTCAAAAAGATCAAAGTCCTGCAGGTCGTCAGGTAGCCGTTGAAGCACCTCTGCCAACTCTTCTTGATTCAGTTCCAGGTCATTTGGCATGTCTGTGATCTCGTTGGTGATGTCATCAGTGATTTCATCGGCACTGAGCTCTGGAGTGGAAGAATTCCTGGGGGAAAAGGTGTGACGGCAGAAGTAGATAATAATATAATTTTAATACAATAATACATAATAATCCTTGCATTTGATATATGTCACTGAGACGTCTCAAAGCGCTTCACAGAATATATTTTAGAGTGAATTAACTGTGCATTTTGTGGATGAAACACGGCAGCCAATTGCGCACAGCAGTGTCCCAGAAACAGTGGGGCAATGCTGAGCTGTATACACAAGTGCTGTTCTGCTCTGCTTACCGAACATGTGAGGCCAAAACTGACACACCAAGAGTGCCAGGCATGGAGAGGTTGCCCTGGGGTACAGCTGGAGGAATCGGCTTCTGAGGCCTCCGTGGTCCTCTCCGCCTCTTCTTCTTGTGTTTTTTGGTAAGTGCTGGAGGCTTCGTTTTCTTCCTGGGCTTCCTCTGTTGCTGTACCTTGCGGTTGCTGTCCCCTCGTAAGAAATTATCCTGAAACAAATGGATAGGTAAAACGCTGCACCTGTGCAAACAACAGATCATTACTGCACATGCCTCTCTTTGAAGTGCAGCCCTGTCCTTTTGGAAGTTTTTGAAGCCCCCTGTGAAAATGCTGCCAGTGCTGACAGGTTCGGTCACGGTGCAGAACCTGGATTCTGGCAGATGATATAATACAACAACAACAAGATTCCATTTATAGAGGGCCTTTCACGTCAGGAGGACGTCCCAAGGCGCTGTACAGTTGGGTCAGGACCCGAGCATTGGGGTGAAATGGTCAGGGGGAGGGAAGGGAGGGAGCGAGGAGGGGGTAGAGAGTTGAGAGGGGAGCTGAAGGCACGGTCAATAATAATAATCTTTGTATTTGATATAGTGCCTTAGCACATACTGAAGACATCTCAAAGCGCTTCACAGAATATACTGTAAAGTGAATTGACTGTACATTTTGTGGGCGAAACGCAGCAGCCAATTGTGCACAGCTGTGTCCCACAAACAGTCGTGGATTGAGTGACCGAATTATTATTCATTTATTTTTTTGAAAGGATTATTACCCCCGGAAAAGCGATATATTCCCAACAGTGTAAACTTTTTCCAAACATGGGTTTTGCATTTTTCACTTGGCTTTCATTAAAATGGTGGTTAGATTGATTATAGCATGACAGGAAATCAGCAACAGAAGATCCTATGGCCCTTTAAATGTCACTTTTCAAGATTAAAATAAGTTTATAAGCATTAATAAGCAGCTGTTCTGCATTACCGCACAGTTCCTTACAATGGTGTCACTGACGGTAGTGATTTTGCATTGATCGGCAGTTCAAGTAGATAGTATCTACTAGCATGCTTAAGCAATTAAAATGAATTTGGGCAATTTGAGTTTAATCTATGAGCATGGATCTAAGCCACAAAACTGGCAACAATATGGCATTAATATATGGTTTCACCCAGAGGCCATAAAGCACATGTGATGCGGAAGGATGCTACATTGATGAAGGAAAGCCATTCTTCTGACTGTAGGCTTGAGTATCACTCTTGGAGTAGTGCGGAGGTTTTACTGTGGATGTGCTGTGGGTTACACCTGAACTGACACTGCTCAATGCAGCGGTGGGAACAGTGCAAGACTCACTTCAAACAATGGTCACAATCCTTACCATTTGTCCAGGAATGCTCCAAATGCCAATACCACAGTGTGTACCCATGGTTCAGTAAAAGTTGAGCTCCTGATTTCACCATAGGCATTCGCCAACATAAGACTATAAAATCCTCATAAGTACAGGTGGTAAATAAAGGAACAACATATCGATTAAAACTGCTATTTTAGTACAACATTTTCAGTTGCTCTATGGAAGCTACGATAAGCCAGCCTGTTAATAGCAGTTGCCTACTTTCTCTCACTGGACAGCAGAGAAAGAGAAGCACCAGCAATAAATCCATTTCTGGGAACAGCCGAAGTCCATGCAACGACGACAAAATTATATTGGTATAGCGCCTTTCATGTTGGGAAGACATCCCAACATGACGTTCATGCAGATCATGAAGAGGCACAAATACAGACAGAGATACAGTAGATGTGGTGAGAACCAGAGACAAAGTAGAGGACAGACTCGGTTGTATGTGTGCCACCACCAGAGATAGTTTTACTCTGCATCTCGTAGTGACACTGGGTGCAAAGATTTCTGAACTCCAGCACAGACTTTAATCCAACATAAAAATAAACCTGTGTGTTTTTGGGGAAGTTTACCATTTTCTTTGCGTGCTCTTCACACAGTGGGGTTTGGTGCGTGATGTCAAACACTGGAATGGAACACTGCTGCCCGTCTGCAAACTTGGCCGTGCAGCTGGAGAACAGCTGCTGCGAGCGACTCAGCAGGATATCTGCATCGCACAGGTCAAGAAAATACTACCTACATTCCAATATCAGCCCCCCCACCCCCCAAAAAACACACATATACATATTAGTCATTTCAAAAAGATGTATGTGCAAAAGAGTCAATTTATTCCCCCCCTCCCTCCATGGATTTCTACCATTGACATCTCTCCCCACTCCCAAAGCCACTGGTTATTCAGACATTGCAAATTTCTTTAAATTCAGGCATTTCTGGATTAGCTTCTAAATGAATGGTACTGTTTTAGAATGCATCTTAAACTGCATTACCGCTAATGCTGGGTTTAAGCCAGTGGAAATAATTATGGAACTGCCCGCACCTGTCTCCCAAAATCCTAAGTGCACCTTCTGATTCAAGTTAGATGTGTAGGGAGAAGTACAGTACTTTATACTGGAAATATAAACTCCCCCAGGCTGTTACTCAACTTACTTTTTAAGTATTAAAAACCCACAGAACATGAAGGTGATCTACAATAAGTGCTTTTCATAGTGCACTTTCTTGTAGTTAAAGAGTCACACTATCAGGATCCCTTCTAAGAGCCAGTCAAAACGATTATAATTAACTACAACACTCAGAATTCTATCAGTTGATGGGAGAGGTTTAGATGTTATTTTAAAGCAATTACTGAATCCAACAGGGTAGGAGAGCTGAAATATCTGCAGATATGGGTATATCCCAGAATGTGTTGTTTAGCTGTTTGCTCTAGTCTCCCCTGAACACCAGGAAATCCTTGAAACCTGGTAATTTATTGAGAGTTATTTTCAATTGGCTTGAGTACAAGTGGCAAGTCTCTCTTTAACCGTACTTCTGTCCCAGGTCAACAATAATGCCTGTTTGTTACAATTTGAAAAAATGTTAAGGATACGTTGAAACAGTGCCTGGTATATGGAAGAGCCATGTTGGTGCAGTGCTGGCCCTTGATGATTCCTGTGCACAGTGCTGGATCCACTACGCTGAGGTCTGTCTGCTTTGTGCTGAAAAAAAGAAAAGTAGTAAGGTTAGCTCATCCTTTGAGCTATATACAGGCGGTGCCCTTGATGGGAGTTAATAAGATCTTCGATGCCAAGAGTGAGAGATAGGACCCAGGCTCATGTTAGTGGTTCCTTTGTCTCAGAGTGATGAATATGAGGGAGCTGATTTGAATAGGGGCCAGATACTTACATGCAAAGAGGAAAAAACACCTCAGGCCCGAAGTATCCATTGAGTTTAACTTCCAACAACTATTCTTAATGCATAACAGTGACACAAAGAGAACGTAGGACAGAGATTCCTCCTGGAATGCATACCATTGTACAGATTGGTTACAGTTACTTTTGCTTTAAACTTAGTCATATCACCTTCACCTCTCTAGGCTTGCTCCAGAGCAAGCAATATTCACTGGCCGATGATCAGGTGAGGAATCCGCCCAACTGCAGCCAACTCCAGGTGGAAACTACCCGAATCAGAATAGAACAGAAAAGATCAAAGTACTCCCCATCATTCCCATTGTAGAGAATTTCTCTTCCAATCTCAACTTCTAAGTTCCAAAAAAAAAGTCCCTAAACATAAAATGTACCTCATTTACCTGATTTAAAATGCTCAGCACACTTCCTATAATAAATGCATTGTTCAGTAGTCTTATTCAGCAATACAAGGGCCCCAAAGCACTTTGAAACAATACACTTCATAGGAATTTTACAGCGTAGAAGGAGGCTATGGAGCCCATCAAGTTTGTGAAGGTGTTTTTCTAATCCCATTCTCATACTCGTATCCCCCACCAAACGCTTTAACATTCTTCTTTTCAAACATTTATCTAAGTCATCCTTCCAATAATTTGTGGATTCTGCTACAGGAAAGGTTTGTGGTAGCTACTTCCTTGTTTCTAGTTAGCCACTGATGTCCCGGCCACAAAATAAATATAAAATGATCAGATCTCTGATGTGGTTATATAACTTGTATGACAAACTTGCAGTGTGGTTCTACAGGACAGAAATTCTAGATAGCTAGAAATGTCTGAAACAGCTGCGAGAGCATCAGTCTCCACTATACTAAATATTTGTCCCTGAGGGCACAGATTTCTGGTGCATCACTATCCATGATCATCTTTTTTTGGAAAGAGAAAATATTAAGTTTAACACCTTTTATTTTAAGACTTTCACTGAATATTGCTGATGGTACTTAATGGGGGAAACTGGATTGGAGGAATTACTTAGCTCACCAGTGACCTGTGATCAGGAGAGATGTTTCCATTAACTTGGAAATGCATTAGCTTTGAGTGCAGGCATTTTAATTCAACTCCCTCTTACACTAATGAATTCAGCAATGTCGCCAAGACAAATGTTCCTTAATGGGTTCAGCAGCATTCACTTGATGAATATTGCACCAGAACGACAGAACAATGACAAAACTACAAGGCAGCAGAAAACCAAAAAATGTTAACATAATAATGAAGTGCGGTGGGCTAGTTTTGAAAATGTGTCTTAACGGGAATGATCATGCTCTCTTTATCAGCGATGATATCAGCCTGGTTCAATCAAACTGAGTTGGACAGTTTTTCCAGCAACCATGCAATAAAATATTCCCCTAGCTACCGCGATGATCTGTTTCCTGAAATGGATGATCCGTAAAACTTGGGGTACACTACGTTTGGCTTACTGAACACCAGTTAGAGAGTTCACTCAGCCAGTGCAATCACTTTCAAGTTTGACATATATTTTCTTGCCTACATTCTGCCTTTAGTGCCTTCAGTTCGGACAATCAGCTATCAGGGACAGTTACATTAAATACATTCACTTTCCGTACACTAAAGGTTAAATACAAATTGTTTGGAAACAATTTCTGTAGAAGTGCGTCTCTTAGGAACTTGTATGAACCAACTGAAAAAGTACAGGACAGAGACACAAAGAGAAACACAAAATAATCAGGCACCAAATAGCAACATGTCAGATGGAACAGAAGCTCAAGGGTCACCTGTCAAAAAAATCCTTTTTACCCAAGAATCTAAATATTTCAGTCTCCTTCCACCCCACTCACTAAGATACAGGTTATGATCGCTGCAAATTTAGCCTGGATGACGAGAGATTTCCATTCCCAACATTGCATTCGAAAGCTGGGCAGACAACAATCTAGCCAGACTTGTATACAAGTCCACATGTGTACATAAGACAGGATCACCACAAATTGAAAAAAGGAGTGCTGACAGACTCCCGAAAACAGGTGAACGCTACTCAAGCACACCATCGGGGAATGAATGTCAAATCTATCAATAGTGGCAGATGTGATAACATAAGATTGATAACAATCGCATTATTATACCTGGCTATTATAGTCAACGTAAGATGCCCGAGAGCTAGACTGCACTGATCATAATGCTCTCTAGGCGCAATCAGCTTTTTTTTATTCTGAAGGAAGTCGACATTGCCAGGGAACAGTGACTGACCTGGTCTGTGTGGGTGACCCTGTTCGGAGTTCTCGAAGCAGCTGCCCAGTGTAGTCAGGCTCTTTGTTGGCTGCCTGCAGTAGCGCCATGCGAAACGCATGCCGACACCTCTGCTTGCGTACCGCCGCTCTCTCCACACGACACAGCTGCATGTATCTGTGCTGCAGGTAAGTGCAGAGTCGTGTCATTCTCAAGCTTCTTGTACTCGTCGCCTCATCTTCAGGGCTGCGAAAAAAGAACAAATCAAAGTGTAACGTCTCCGTCCCGAGAGAAACCTAGATAAATAAATGCAGTCAAAATCACACCAGCGCTCAGAATAATACTTTGTGTATTTGGATTTCCTTGTGTCACAGACCACTGCCCCAGATGATCGGCTATTCAACAACAACAACAACAAGATTCCATTTATAAAGCGCCTTTCACGTCAGGAGGACGTCCCAAGGCGCTGGGACTTCATCTTGTGCACACAGGTTTCAAATCAACTGCTGGAGTTACGGAGAGGGCACCCCAGACATAGTGCTCTCTCCCATATTCTCTCCTGCTATAGGGAAGTACTAGGCTCTGCCCATGTGCTAACTTACCTACACGCACAGAAGCAGTTGAGATCAGGAATAGCAGGACAGAGATTGACATTGCTTTTCCCCTTCCTGATTGCACTCAGCATGCTTCATGTGAAGCATCAGAAGAATCCTTTTGCTGTACTGCGGTATGTCTGTGGCACTTTGAACCTAACATTGCCATTATCAACATTGTTTTAAATTCATTGTCACTAACACATTAATTAATAACATTTCTGGTACTAACTTCACTGGTAGTAATATTGCCCATACTAACTTAACTACTGTTAATATGGCTGCTACTAACAAACCAACGCGACTGCTACAAACTAAATAGCTGCCATTATAATGGAGACTGAATTTTATGCTTGAAATGCATTTTGTGTGCAGCTCTACCACAATGCCCACAGCAATAAAGCTCTATTGATTTTAATTATTTTTGTACTGTAAGTTCTCAGCCTTTCCATTATTAGTCTTTGGTTTACAGTCTCTAAATTCAATAACTAACTGGGCATGTAGCTGAACAGAGGATTTTACATTATGCCAGTTGGTTCATAGATCAGAGGGTAACCTTGAAAGCTGCCTATCTGGGGATCAGCTGGCTAGACCACATGCTTGTAGATGAGGCTGATAGATTGGTATTTTCTGTCATTTCCTTAGCTGGAACACAACAAGATTGCAGAGCTACTAGCAGAAATTAGTCTAATCTAAAGGTTAATTGTGTATGTGTGCCTGCACTTTTCGTGGGTGGGGGGACAGGAGTGAAGTGGCAAGTAGCCCAGATCTGAAACACGGAACCTAAGAATCTGATCCACTTGCTAATCCCAGAACACGCTGAATGTTACACTTTTACTGGATTTTACTATCTATGAAATACAATCATAAGCTAAACTGTTTATTCCGATATGTTTCATTCTGAAACCCAATACACTATTAAACATAGCCACCAGACATGATGCAGACAGTCTTGAAATTACATGCCACAGACCTTTCACCTCCACATAGTCGCAAAGGCAATGCTGGAGTGTTCAAAATCCTGATCTACTTTGCAATTTTATCAAAATATATCAATTCACTGCAACTGAATATCATTACTTTCCTTCTAAATCTCAAGACCAAAACAACAAGAAGATTTAATTTATAGAGCGCCTTTCACGTCGGGAGGACGTCCCAAGGCGCTGGACAGTTGGGTCGGGACCCGAGCAGGGGGGAAATGGTCAGGGTGAGGGGAGGGAAGGGAGGGAGCGAGGAGGGGGTAGAGAGTTGAGAGGGAAGCTGAAGGCACGGTCAAAGAGAAAAATCTATATAACAAAAATTACAATTTTAAATGAAAATCATTTTGCTCACAAAATCCCTCTTTTGCAGACCTTGACATATGCCAGCCTACCCACCAATCCATTTGCAATGTTCCCAGCTCAAGAGACGCAGGTAAGAAAACAAGTGAAGAAAATGAAACAAGGAACAGGAAAGTGAGAAATAGACAACAAGGCAAAGGAAGCTTGTCTCCAAGTACAAAAAAACAAGACACCAGCTAAAGAGTCTCTAATAGCATTGAATAAACACAATACAAATAAGCACTCAAGATGAGAAGGCACTGGCAAGAGCCAAGCAGGAGAGCCTCAGTCTTGTCTACATTTAACTGAAGGAAGTTAGAGCTCATCCAGGACTCGGTTAGAACAGTAGTGAACCTGGAATCAAGGTTAGAAGCAGACAGCGAGAGGGAGAGAAAGAGAGTTGAGTGCCATCTCTACACATGTGAAAGTGAACATCAAGACTGTGGATGATGTCACCAAATGGGAGTATAGTGAAGAATAGAGGACCAAGGATAGAGCCCTGAGGAACCTGCATGTGACCGTTTGGGGCAGGAGGAGAAGGTGTTTGATGAGATAAAGTAGACACTGGGTTAGGTACGAGTGAAATCAGGATAGGACAGAACCATGAAGGTGGAACAGGGAGGAGAGGTGGTGGTGAAGAATAGAGAAGTCAACAGGGTAAAAGGCAGCTACCCAAGGAGCAGAGAGAACCCTAGGACAGGAATATGAAACACTTGGAAATGCTCCTGTAAAGCAAAAAATACTGCCATATTGCAAAAGCATATTATCCAATCACCAACTGTATATTAGCTAGAAGTTGCGTAACAATAACAGAAGTGAAAAGGCATAAATTGAAAGAGGAAGCAAAACAGTCGTGGCAAGTGCCTTGAATCAGCGCTAGCTACTACATGATTTTTATTTATCAAAATAAATTTCCCTGAGCGGCACAATAAGAAGCCATTTGCGGAGAGCAGCAGAACTATGTGAACTGGCTGAGAACAGAAATGGGAGCCTCAAGGAATGTGGCCACTAACTTTTATTGTTAATGCTGAAACTCTGATCCACGCTTTTATCACCTCAAGGCTGGACTATGGGAACTCTCTCCTCGCCGGCCTTCCCGGCACCTCCCTCCACAAGCTGCAGGTCATTCAGAACTCTGCAGCTCGTGTACTGTCCCGCACCAGGCTTCACGACCACATCACTCCCACCCTCGCTCGCCTCCACTGGCTCCCCATCCCCCAGAGGATCGAATTCAAGGTCCTCATCCTCACCTACAAGGCCATTCACGGCCTTGCTCCCTCCTACCTCTCCGACCTACTTTCCCCTTACCTACCTGCCCGTACCCTCCGTTCCTCTGGCTCCGGTCTGCTCCACATCCCCCGCCCCAACCACCCTACCATCGGTGGCCGGGCCTTCAGCCTCTCAGCCCCTAGGCTCTGGAACTCTATCCCCAAGTGCCTTCGCCACTTCCTCCCTTTCCTCCTTCAAGGCCGGTCTCAAGAACTTTCTCTTTGACCGTGCCTTCAGCTCCCCTCTCGACTCTCTACCCCCTCCTCGCTCCCTCCCTTCCCTCCCCTCACCCTGACCATTTCCCCCTTGCTCGGATCCTGACCCAACTGTACAGCGCCTTGGGACGTCCTCCCGACGTGAAAGGCGCTCTATAAATGGAATCTTGTTGTTGTTATATGGTTGGTCTTCTATTCACAAAAATATCAGGAGCAGCCATTAAAATCCAGCCCAATGAATTGCTTCCTCTTGTATTAGAAATATTTGATGCACTTCCCCCAAACCTTAAAGTGAATATGCCAACATCATTGGAATTCCTTCATTAACACAAATTAATCCGTTCTTCCCTTTATTGCTTGAAAAACCTGTACCAGTGCAGGCGGACTGCCAGTACAGAGCGCTCTCCTCATCCAACAAACCACGCAGGTGATCTAGTCCCAAAATAATAATGAATATACTGAGGAGAGGCAATCAAATAGAGAGTAAAGGTCACTCGGGAGTGAGTTATATGAAGAATGGATAGCTGAGACTGACTTTAAAGCGGTAATCTAATTGAGAAGGTCAGAAAGTGAAACTATGTTGGCTTGAAGCCATTACCTGATCTCAATGAATAAATAAACAGCCTTGAAATGATTCTCTGCTCTCTATCATTTAGCACGCAGACGTTTTCTTTGACATTTTAGAAATGGACCATAAAAAGACTAACTACTGTGCTGGCATTGGTGCAAGTGAATTGAGAAATAAGTCAGATGGGAAATTCAATGTCCGGTAAGTACAAATTGGAATTCATTTCTCTACGTTGTCACAACACAGTATTTCCTTACCACTGTCTGCCTGCCTAATCGTGCACAAAGCACAATTCTGGTTCTGGATACCATCAACACTGAGTTTTCACAGTCTTTAAAGGAAACGCACAAGATTCTTAATAAGTTGAGGTGTGCCAGCTGAGAGGTGAAGTCAGGTGCAATCTTTTATATGAACAGCTGTAAATACTGGAAAAAGGCTTGCGGTGCTTTAAGTTTGGGGGATGTGATATGGAGAGGTTTCAGAGAGCTGAAATTCATGTTTAAACATGATTTTACCCAATTATTTTTCATGTTTTTTTAATATGTGTAACAAACAGTGCCGTAAACGTCGTCCGGTGCTGGAATTCTTCTCTATAGATTGTGAATGCAACAATGCATCACTACCATACACAAGTGCAAAAGTTAGTCTTGGCCTGTATTTGTCAGAGAGAAATTCTATTGAAAATTGAGTTTATAGAAACATATTAAAGGGAGCCTCTAAGCCAGATCACCAAATTTTCAGGAGTATTGACGCAAACAGTACTCACTCAGGGCTACACAGAGTCCACTTGTCACCGAGCGTGCACGAGTCCTGGCATGACGGTACCCGCTCGTCATCTTCCTCCTCCTCCTCTTCACTGTCCTCAGACCAGTCCAGCCCTGCAGACAAGCAGAATTTCGTCTCACTGAGCCAAAGACAGGGGAGCAAAATAACAACACATCAGGACCTGATGCCAAAGAAAACACTGATCTTAAAGGGAAACACAATTCTGATGGACAGTGCTATTAATCTGGTATAGTATTAATCTGAATCTATACTATGTTTAGGGACTGCTTGTCACATACATTTTCCATTACCTTGCAGAAAATGAAAGGGGGAGGATGGGGGCAAGCGGAGTAGTAGGAAGGACTATAACAATGGAAAGAAAGACAGCCAATTGAGGATCAATGTCTAGACAACTGTACACAATGCTCCGTGTGGAACCAGACCAGTGCTTTATGTAGTCATCACTACATCCTGGAACACAACCTCATTCAAGTCACATATCCTAAACCTGATTGTTTCCTTGTCACTACATTGATAGTTTCAATAAGCAACCAGCAATCACTTCCAATTCCTTCTGCTGTTTCTGTTGTGCAGGCCTCTAGCATTTAAGTGCATTTTCCCACGGCTTATTCCCTTTCTCTATTCTTAGCATTTTACTAACTGTCCTCGGTGGCCAAGTGACCAAAGGCACCACCCAATGTAACACCAGTCATATTATAAACAGAAGGTCGCAGGCTCAAACTCTGTTCTGGGGTGTTAGCTCGGGCAGCATTCAGTGTGCTATAATTGGCCACAACACCCCCAAGTTAAGGAAGAGAAAACCTGCCAGGGCTTCTGCTGGAAGGTGCATGTGTGGATGCTAGACTTGGCTCCTCTCTTCCCCCCTCCCCCTCACCATCCAAATAGTCTGTTAACACTCGCTGTCAAAGATCACATTGCATTATGATCCCAAGTAAAATACAAATTGGAACTGAACCAGTAGAGAAAACGAGACAAACCTTTGGGAGGCGAGGAGAAAATATTTTGTTTTATATAAAAGAGACACACAATTGTGTTAGTTGTATTATTATCCGTACTTCAGAGTTATTTAGAAACCCCTATGCATATGTAAGAAAATACACATTGAATCAACAAACAGTGAAATAGGGTTACCATCTAGGACCAAGTTGAACTATGAGGTTTTATTAGAGGAAGCATCACTAAGACAAGAAGGTTGAATGCAAAATTCTGTTCTGAATAACAGCATAAAACCGACGAAATGCATATAGCTAACATTATGCTAAGACTGCTGTCAACTGTAAAGGACTGCCCGACTGTACATCAACAAAATCCACTGTATGGCCCAAGCAAACCACCAGTAAATGAAAGGAGGGCAATAAATCCAGACTGTGAAATGGTTCACATATATATAAAATTCATAGAATTACACAAGAAATTTAGAAGCAGATCATAACTGCACTATTCTGTACACCCCCATCTCCCTGAACTATGGTGCTAAAATCATGCCTAAGTGGTGCATAAAGACCATCCAGGATTAATTACACCACACTATAATTAACACACATGCTGCCTAATTTTCACAATAATCATCTTTGCATTTTTCTACAGTGGCAAGAATAGTGACTGTATTTGTAGGCAAAACTGGCTGCCAAGTCGCACACAGCAAGTTCCCAAAAGAATCATTGGGACAAATAGCATTTGATCTTTAACATCACCCGAAGAACAAGCAGGCTGGACCTTGATTCCAACATATCAATGAGAGTGCAATGCTCCCCCAGCACTCAGTGACGGACTTATGGTGGGGCTTGAACCACAATCTTCTGAGTCAGAGACCAGAGTAATATTAAATGTGCCAAACGGACACCCCGAGTCACTTGCCTGTCCTTTCCGATGTGTTGTAAATTGGAAGAAAACACAAATTTAAATATTTAAGAAGAAACATAGCGAAATTGGGCTTCTCCACGTACCTAAATGTGGAAAGAGATCTCGGTGCAGCAGCTGTTTCTCGGCGCACAGTTTGGCTAGTCTCTGGAGTCTGCTCACACAGGCCACATGCGGCCTGCACACCGGTGTGGAGTTTGATGCTTTGAGAATGACGACGTCAGCCCGGGGAGAAGTTGATGCAGCAGCAGGTGGAGCTGGGGCCGGTGGGGGTGCTGGCGGTGGGAGGTGAGGCGGGGAAGTGGACTGGTGGGGCTTCCTGTTTGGTGAGTGAACAGCGGGCGCTGTAGGTATTGTACAGTGAGCCGTCCCTTGCGACTGGCTTGGGGTGGGAGGCTGAGACGCTTTGCATAATAAGCCCTGCGGCAGTCCTGTGGGTTTGGGGGGGCTGGAAAGAGGGGGAGTGCGAGAATAGACTAGCTGCGGTGCTACAGGATGGGGGTTAAAGTGCTCTGGTCGCAGTTTGAAAATCTCAGGCTCTCTCAGCCTTTGCTGCCGGTTCTGAGCCAGTTTGGTCTGAAGCTTGCGTTTCACCGTCCCTTTTTTCAGTGCACACTCGTCATCGTCGGGGAAAGCGAACGGGTCGTCAAGTTCTTGCTCCAAGTACTGGAGAGGCAGCCGTGGCCTCTGCGGTGACAGTGTTGGCACATCTAAGCCATTTGCTGTCTTCAAAGCCAGCGAGGGCACTGCCAGGCTGACTGCCATGGCGGCATCGAGATGCGGTCTGTGGCGCACCTCGTCTAGCTGCTCATTCTTTTTCTTTCGCTCCTTTTTAGGGACCAAACCGAGGACCTGCAGGTGGCTGTTGCAATATCTGTTGGAAAAATGAGAACACACTCAGGAGAGGATCAATACACAAAAAAAAACTTGCACTTCAGGTTGCATCTGTCATACAGGATGCCACCTTGAAGTGCTTTGCAGGGATTGTATGAACAGCTGAGTGAGGTGGGAGGGCTGTGGGTAAGGAGGGTGTTGACCAAAGATACTGTCGAAGAGACAGTTTTGTAAGTAAGGTTTTGAAAACAACAACATGCGCTTATATAACACCCTTCACGCAGGGAAGTGTCTTGGAGCGCTTAACAGTGGCTGAGCATGAAATTTGAATAAAGTGAATACGATGACAACACAGACTAAGTTCTATAACAACATTTTACATTGATATGGTGCTTTACTTGACGGGAGGACGTCTCAAAGTGTTTCACAGAACTAAGAGCTGCAACAAGCTTCGGCCAACAACCAATGAAGCCATTGTAGTCAAGGCTCCCTGAAACTACTGCAGCCAAGGCAATGTTGACCTAGATATTCTGGTATTAAACCATGGAAAACTCTGCTTGGTACTGCCATGCCACATGTGTAATGGGAGCAGATTAGCAACTCCCCACACAATACCGAGTATCTTGCACCAAAGGCACTGAGCAACTCTACTTAATAAGGCTCATCAATCAGGTGACCTCAGACCCAATTCTAAATTGCTCCTTAAAAGTTGCTTCCCTGTTTGACTTAGAATTTAGTCATTTGGTCCTCAGACAGCCCTCGAGGCACATCATCACTATATAGTTGGTAAAAAGAAAGACCTTGAATACCACAGAACAATGGTTGGTCAGTAATTGCTCTTCAAATCTACTATCTGCATCTGCACAGTTTTCTTCCTGCATAAAGCTTTCTGCACAAAGTCTCTTGTTTTGTTCTACATCAGCAGTGGGAAAAGGGGATTGGTACCTCACTTTTTTTTAAAAAAAGGATACTAGATGACAATAGATCTACTATGGCATCATAAGGTTGTTGCTGTGACACCCTATGAAGGAGCAAAGCTTTCACTATGTGATCAACTTCACAACAGTGCAGACTTCACAGCAGTAACTGACATTAATGAGAATCATCTGAGTATCAAAATCATGTTTCACAGTCACAAGAAAGCCTGCTCAACATTAGATTAGACTTATAATTGTGTATAGAGGAAATCGGAATTGGAAAGGTTGTCGAGACCCATCCATGCTTCCAAGGACTTCTCCCAACCATGAGCACTAAACAAACCCTCAGTTAGCCGTACTACCATAACCCCCTAGGGATTTCTCTCCTCTCCCCACTCTGTCCCCATATTTCTGGTTCCCAAGATTGAAGGTTTGTCATATCTGATAATTTTTTTCTTGCAGTATAATATGATTGTGTGGTATGATTGTATTAACATCAATTACAGATTGTAACAACTGGATGGATAGGGCACCAGCAGTGAGTTCTTTGGGAATAGTCCAATAAAATTACCATCTAACAAATGTTAGAATTCAACAGCAATATTACTGTGTTTGAGAAACTAACTGGCAAAGAATAAGAAAGATCAAACGGCTGGGTGATAGCATCTAGATTTTTTTTAAAAGAGATAATTTTGCACTATTTCCCAGATGTGATAGCATGACATTTTTGCAAGAGACAAGGTAGATGTGGGTGTGGGTGAAAGTAAAATTTGATTAGTAAAGAGGAAAGAGTTCCTCAGCTGAGGAACATCAGGAAATGAGCAGCCCAAGCTCATATGAATTTGAATAGTTTACAACAGGCAGAAGACAAATATATACTGAATATAGTCATCAGAAAGCAAGTTTACAACAGCATCACAAAACACTGCACTTTACAATATATCCTGTGAAGCGCTTTGTGGTACATTCCAGACATGAAATACCAAATGCAAGGATTATTATTATGCAACTGTGCTTGTTTTATCAAATGAGTGATTCCCAAAACGAATTCTGCTGTTTAATACAAGGAGCAGGATGAGTTAGAGGGAAATACTTTTGAAAAAAAAATCAATGGAGAATTGTGGATGGCGCCCCCATTATACAGTATCTGTATACCACCGTCAAGCACTATGGGACACTAACCCCCACAAAGGGCGCTATATAAATGTAAGCTGTTGTTCTTTCTTCCCAGAGGAGATCTGAAAAATAAAATCCTTCGAATGAATGGTGACTGCCTATGATGAGGGAAAAGGAGGAGTTCAATGGAAAACATAAAACAATTCTGATTTAATATACAGGGTGAATCAAAAATCTTTACTCATAGGTCTATATGAGATGTTCAAACTGCATGTCATGTAAATGTTTACATATATCAATTCGGTGGCAAAACATTTTTACAAATGCGATGAAAGACATTTCCTGTAATAGCTGCACACTCTACAAACAGTCTTAAAAAGAACATCATTAATAATTAAAAACTCTGAGTAAGGACTTCTGATTCACCCTATATGTAATATTCCTCCATTATCTATTGGCAAAAATTCATTTTTTATTCAGCCATTGTCTTCTGGTCTCAGGCAATACATGTCCTCACTAGAATTTTAGGCATTGTGGAGTGGTTTGAGCACTCGACTCGCAAGCAAGAGACCTGGATTCGATTCCCGGCAGAGCGAAATGTTGAGCAAGTTTCCTTACTCCACATACCTGTTTACCTAGTAGTAAGTAGGAACCCGGTTGTTAGTGATTGGCGGATTGCTTTTCTGGAGGGGAACAAATCCTTCAAATTTTTTTTAAATACAAGTCACTCAATCCACTACTGTTTGTAGGACACTGCTGTGCGCAATTGGCTGCCATGTTTTGCCCACAAATATACAGTCAATTCACTTTACAGTATCTTCTTTCAAGCAGTTTGAGACGTCTAGAAGAGGTGAAAAGTGCTATATCAAATGCAAGGATTATTATTATTATTATCATGATGTCGATCTGAATCAAACTGACCAGGAAGTTCCTGGCTAACTATAGATCCTAGCTACCATGAGCTTGCTAGTCTTGGGACAGCAATGAGTATCTGCAATTAGCTCCAATGCTTCAGAGCTAGGAGGGTGGTGTGTGAAGGAGAAAGAAAAGAAAATGTCAACCAGGGATTCTGCTCCCAACACTATCCCAATAAGGCTTGCTGGAGCAGGCCCATGGGTGGCAATTGGGTGTAGAAAGGGTTGGGCTCAGCTGTGTTGCCCTACAAGTCACACATTGCCGAGGCTCACACACAATAAATGTCTGCTTGGCCTCGGTACTTGGAGCACTGCCACCACACAGAAATATAAATCAGTGAGAGAGAGCTTCATCAAAGAGGATAAATAAGTGGAGAAACTAGAATGGATAATAAGCAGCTGAATTAATTAGGGTGAAGAATAAAAAGTAGTATTTAATCTCAAAGTGGCATCTGTATTTTGTGAAAAGGAAAAACATGAACCTGCTGAAAATTCATTTGAATATGTGATGGAAATTGAAATGCAATAGGCAAAGGGTACATTTGAGTATGCAAAACTCTCAACTATCCTTGAAATTTTCACCATCAGTGTGAATTTGTGATCGGATAACAAAATAGTTAACTGTTGTCCTGAGAAAGCAATGGATTCTCTCAGTGAGTGAGGAGGCAGCTGCAAAACTTGGGTTTGCTGAGCAGCTGAAATTATACATATGAACCCCTGTGGGAAATCTGCTTATTAATTCAAGTACCATTTGAAGCTCTGACTTTCATCTTCAAAAAAGCAAACCATTCACTTGATTTTAAAATCCTTGGCTTCCTTTGAGGATTTAGTGGATAGTTGCATCACTTGCAGCTGGAGTCAGAACCCTGGTTCCATGGTTGATCCCAACCAGGACAGTGATATCTCCTGGTGAACTCACTGTTCCTCAGTGTTTGGATAGAGGAGAATCAGCCAGTTCTTCTCTCTATAGCTGTCCAGTAATGCCCACACACCACTTTTGTGACATGAGAGCAAAAGAGGGGAAGGAGGCTGGGAAGTAGGAGAAAAATAAACGTTCTTTGTAAGGGCCAATTCTTCACCTCACAAAATCACATGCTGCAACAATACAGTTTTTAAACTTATGTACATCTTGCTTCTATGAGAGATCAGACACAGAATGGACCAGTGGGAAAGCCAATGGGATTTTTCTTGTAGCAAACAGCAGTAGTCTATATTAATAATATAGTCCTTTGTTAGTTCTACCAAAGGCACACTAGTTAAAACTAAGATTAAATAATTTCAATCCGTAACAGGTCACCTTCCCCCTCCCCCTCTTCTATGACTATTATCACATCATCTGAGTCCCAGACACACCTTTTCTCTCTCTGGTCTGCCTGTTTTGTTGCAATTCCCACCCCTTTGTTTTGTATTATTAACATCTCTTTTTCCCTGTGATATTGCAATCTCCCTTTGTTTTGCATTATTAACACCTCTTTAACCTATCATCCCCTGTCCTCTATCCCATTTTCTCCTTTGTCTTCCTTGCCCTCCCTACCCCCTCTCTGTTAGTCCTAAAAAGCCTCTCCCTCCAACATGCCCCAGTTCTGACGAAGTGTCTCAGACCCAAAATGTTAACTCACTTTCATAGATGCTGCCTGACCTGCTGAGTGTTCCTAGTGACTTGTTTTTATTAAATTTAGCTGTGTGTTTTGTTAAGAAAACTGGTTACTGCATCCCTTTCACGTGGCCTGTTAACTAAAAAAATAACTTGCCTTCGATCCTCAGATTGTGGAATAGGGTTTGTGCACCGCTGACTGTTGTACTTGGCCACAAATTCACATTGTTTGAAAGGAGCGGTTTTATCCTCCAGAACGTGTCGGATGCAGAATGCGTAACCGTTGAGCCGGCGCTGCTTGCAGAGCTTGGGGCTGTAGGAGCACAGTGGCTTGTTATCGACCTCTGAGAAGTGTATGTGTTTGCCTTCAAACATCACGTGATTCTTTTCCTTGTGAACATCAGCTACAAGATTAAACAAAAAATATACAGCGTCAGATAAAAGTTGCAACACAACACCAAGATTGAATGTTTGGTACAGTGCAACATGCAAAATAATGCAGGTAACCAAAAAAATTGACATAATAATCTTTGCATTTGATAGAGCGCCTTATCAAGTCGCTGAGACATCTCAAAGTACTTCACAGAATATACTGTAAAGTGAATTGACTGTACATTTTGTGGGAAAAATGCAGCAGCCAATTGCGCCCAGCAGTGTCACACAATAAGTTGTGGATTGAACGACCAAACTATTATTTGTTTATTTAATTTTTTGAGGATTGACCCCGAAAGCGATTCTCCAATCGACTAACATCCGAATTCATACTTACTGCTAGGTAAGCAGAGGCATGTGGAGCAAGAACACTTGCCTAAGCTTTCGCCCCACCTGGGAATCGAACCAAGTTTTCTATCTTGTGAGGCGAGCGCTCTGACCAATACGCAACAAGATATGTTGAGAAGGGACTCAAGATCAGTATACCTTATAAAAAATGAAATACAATTGCAATGTGCTCTGAAGTTGAGTCGGTGCTGAGAATGGAATTCTACTTTAGACTTCCAGCATCTGGTTCAGCTAGTCCAAGATCAGATAGCTCACTCCCTATCACACAAACTGTTTCAGTGTTCACTTTCCAATTCACACACCAACCGTGCTTACAGCATCTTCAAACAAAACACATCAACTTAGTGCCTATTTGTGCCAAATAATGAGCATTGTTTTCACCATTTGATATTCCATCAAATTCTAGTGAAAGAGGCTCCGACAATGCTTATTAAAAACAGCAGCCCCGGTCAGATAAAGGATCATGACCTCCAGTCACTTTCTAATTCTGAACTATGCTTTTTGGCTGATATTCTTGTGCGTTTCAATTGTTAAGGTAAGCTCAAATAGGGGACAGTTTTCATTTAAACTTCCATCTCATCTCCCCCAAATCTTTTATGCAAATTTTCTCCCCTTTCTAAAGGTGCGTTTTTCTATTTACATCTCTCTCCACAAATCCCTCAGACGTTTCAGAATTCTGCTAATGCTTTGAAAGTGTCAATCCTCCCTGTGGGAAAGTACCAGTCTCCTCTGGGCATCACCAAGATGCTGGCTGAAATGATGAACTGGCAGTGATGCACAAATATGTACACATTTCATTGGCAACGGCCAGATGGACCCACAATATACCTATATTCCTACACACACAATATACAGTATGCTACAAATATGCACATACAATATAGTACATGATACATACTATCCGCTACATATGTATGCTCAGTCATACAGTTCACATATAATAATAATCCTTGCATTTGATATAGCTTCAAGATGTCTCAAAGAGCTTCACAGGATATAATGTAAAGTGTAATGTGACTGTACATTTTGTGGGCAAAACACGGCAGCTAATTGCGCACAGCGGTGTTCCACAAAGTGTCGTGGATTGAAGTGACCAATTTTTTGGGGGGGAGAGTTTGTTCCTCCCCAGAGAAGCGATCTGCAAATTGACTAACACCTGGGTTCCTACTTGCTGCTTGGTAAACAGAGGCATGTGGAGTAAAGAAACTTGCCCAACATTTTGCTCTGCCCAGAATCAATCCAGGTCTGCTCGTTTGAGAGGCGAGTGCTCTAACCAATGAGCAACAGGACTCCACATTACATGCACACCAATATCCATCCACCACAAATGCATATTAAAATGTGTATATACAGGCATGTTTTTGTAAAATTATTACATCACCGATATCACAGTATTCACTTCAACTTTCTGTAAATGTAGCCCTCCCTTTTCTCTCCAACACTGCACAAGATTTAACATTTTAATCATTAATATATTAAATTATGAAACACCAAATCGTAATAGGATCCTAGAAGTAGGCCATTTGGTCATTTTATTAGATCCTAGCTATTGATCCATATCCTATAATACGCTTCCCATGCATGTATTTATTTCCCTTATAAATGTCCAAATTAAATCTGCATCTGGATCACAACAGTGAATAATAATAATCCTTGCATTTGACAGCATCTTATCACATCGTCAAGACATCTCAAAGCACTTCACAGGACATACTGTAGAGTGGAGTAACTGTATTTTGTGGGCAATTCCTGCTGCCTGTCCAGGTAGGACCACTATTGGGGCTTTGACTTACAGGGTTAACAGGAGCTGAGTGGGAAGAGTCCCTGCCCCCAATAACTGGTCTGCGCTTCCAAGACCTATCGATGAACCAGCCTGGCTGTACTGTCATCAGCATTACCCTGGAGTACTGAAGTCCTGCCTGGCTCAGGAACTAGACTACCGAGACTGCCACCAAGGATTGGATCGATTCTGACATTCCATGGCCAAACATGTCATCTTGGAGTCAGTTCAGCTACAAGGAGACCCGACTAACCTCACTTCAAGGAGGATGGTCATTAAGCGTTCCATGTGGCCAACCTCTTTGGGTGAGCAGAGCTATGTTCTCAATCTGTGACACTGTTCGAACAATTAAACTGGTATTTTATTCATTCTGGAATCTATATTATACTGCAGATAAATATTCATCCAGCATTTCAACCTCATTCATGTTCTGAAAATGTCCATATTCGCAGATCTCTGTAAGCTTAAAGCACACTATTCTCTTGCAACCTTGCACATCACCCACTTTGTTGCTGGCAGCGCCTCATCCAGAACCACCTCACCCAGATGCCTCTATTCCTAACTGCACTGGCAAAATACAAATTGTAACACGGGAGATAAAACACACACCGTGCTAGAAGTTAGATGCAACATCTGTGCACTGATTCCACACTTTGTGGACACCTGATCCTAGCCCATGAAGCACAGGGCCTCATCGAAGGGCAGACTTTGTCCCCCACTGGTAGGGAGAGCGTGACAAGACATCAAAAGGCACATTAACCTTCCTCTCCAAAAAGCTGGTTACAGAGCATAAATGGAGACCTTTGGGCAAAGTGTGTCTTAACTGCCAGATGGGTTATACATGGAGATCAAAAAACAACAGGATTGCATTTATAGAGCGCCTTTCACATCGGGAGGCCGTCCCAAGGCGCTGGACAGTTGGGTCGGGTGAAAATATCAAATAAGATGAAATGAAGTACCTAGTCATGCATTAATATGTAATTTACAAGTGCTACCGGTTTCACATCTCCTGTTCAATATCAGGAAATATGCAAGAACATAACAGTGAAAAGGCAGTATGTTAGTGCCTTGCCGTCACCGAATACACCCCTGCCCAACTTTGCTCAAATGACTGTGCCAAAAACAGCTTACTGGAATCCAGCCATTGAGACGACAACAACAAGATTACATTTGTACAGATGATAACAACAACAATTTACATTGCACATGTGCATTACTTTGCACATCAGGAGGATTTTTTAAAGTCGTTTCGGTCACTGAAAATGTGGTGCAAAAGATAGGTCTGTATCATTTGAACAAAGTTGGAAGGAGTTCCCTGCATCAGTCAGCGACTGAGCGATTCGACATTGTATGGAGATGAATGTTCCACAAAGACCTAAATATCATCCAGCATTTATCACCCAATTGTATCATTTATTCCTTCAGTGACAGATAGAAATATTCAGACTTACAAGACTTCACAGGTAGTCCCCTGGTGGCACAGCAGATCAGGGTTCAATGCACTGGCCCACAATACAACATGAGTCCAAACTAAAAACTCCCATGCCCCTCACAACGATTTGGCTGCAGCTGGCAGCTCTCTATTAGAGAGAAGAGCCAGGCACCCAAACATAGAGAAGCATGTTGGTAGCATGCTGAGAAAACGCACGTGAAAAAAATAAGATTCCAAAGGATTCAGTTATTGTGTGTGGGCTTTAAAAACTTGTGCAAATAGCAGGTGCAAGTAACTGCAGTTAGTTATGGAGAATGTTTCTCCAGCAGATCTGTAGATCCATAATCAATGTCTTTACAAGATATCCCTAGATCAGGGAGACAGTATGAGAGGAGTTACTATGCCCAGAGGTGCAACAGTGCTAAATTTATATGGCGTTAACCAGGAGGTTTCAGCATCAAATTACTTGAAATGGTGTGCATTAAGGTGTCTTGTATAGTGAAGCACTTTTGCACATCCTCCTGACATTAAAGATATTATACCTAATGGAAAGATTATTATTATTCCTTTTACCTTAAAGTAAGCAAGCTTACAAAATGCTGATACCCAACTCTATGGCCTCTCACAGCTTTATTAGAATCAAGTGAATTTGAACAACAACTTGCATTTACATAGTGCCCTTCACACAAGGTAGCGTCTCAGAGTGTTTAACAATGCAGTTTGAGGCCGAGCTGGGGAGTAAAGGGAGATGTCCATAGGTACGGTCCAAGAGGAAAGTCTTCAGCTGCAATCTAATATCAGACCAAGAAGGGGCAAAGCGGAGTGATTAAAGTGCAGGGAACTCCAGGGATTCGGGGCCTAGTGGCTGAAAGCACAGCCGTTGATGGTGGATAGCAGGTGGTCGAGGGACGTGCAGAGACGACTGAGCAAAGGGGGTGGTTAGAAAGATTGGGGTACATGGAGGTTGGAGAGGTAGAGAGGTGCTAGAGCATGAAGTGATTTGTAGGCGAATGTAAGGATCTTGAAATCGATCCGTTCTGTGACAGGAATGGTATGATGAGGTACAGAGTTTGGTAAGAGTGAGGATACAACAACAACAAATTGCATTTGTACAAGCGTTGAAATACTGAATCAGCATTTTAGGATTCACTGAGCAACAAATGTGATCGCTAAAATACCATCCTCTATCACTTAAATTCATGAAGCAATGTTATGTAGTCCTGTAGTTCATTGGTTAGAGCTCTCGTCTCACAAACGAGAGGCCTGGGTTCGACTCCCAGCATGGCGAAACCTTGGGTAAGTTTCCTTACCTGATAATAATATCCCTCAAGAAAAAAAACAATAATTGGTCACTTCAATCTACGATTGTTAGTGGGACACTCCTGTGGCAATTGGCTGCCACGTTTTGCCCA